ATTGCAATACAAACTAGGGGTCTGTATTGCAATACAAACTAGGGGTCATCAGGATGCTAAACCACAGAGCAATAAACATCCCTACCTCCACAAAAGCAAAGAAGAAGGAAGACGGACATCTGAAGACAGCCCTTAAGGCCTGTGGATATCCAGAATGGGCCTTTAACAAGTGTCCCAACCCAGCAGGGCAATGGAACAGTCTGAGACCCAGAGCTGGCGAAAGAAGCTGGTCATTCCTTACATGGTGGGTGTGTCTGAAAAGCTCAAAAGGATTTTTGGTGAACACCACATACCCATGCACTTCAAACCCACAAACACACTAACACAGAGACTCATCCATCCAAAAGACAGGACACCAAAACACAGCAGGAGCAATACAGTATATGTGGTCCTATGCAAAGGGAAGTGTTTGGAGCTCTACCTTGGAGAAACCAAACAGCCACTAAACAGGAGAATGGCCCAGCACAGGAGGGGAAATAGCTCAGGACCACAATCAGCAGTGTTCCTTCAATTGAAGGACAAAGGACACTCATTTGATCAAGATTACTCATTTTGGACTGGGAAGATAGGTGATTTGAGGGGTCAGGGAGGCTATACATGTGCACATAGAAAATCCTTCACTTAACAATCTGTCTCCTATTTCTCATTTGCACTTTCATCTGTCTCCAGGAAGATCAGGACCACACCCACTAGAAAGACCACTGTTAACAACCATTAATGACCCATGACAATGGGTGATAAAGGACTGCAGAAATGGGATTTTCACTCCCCCCGTCCTTTGTCCATCTAAGGAGCTTATTCATACCTGGGCGGGGAATGCAACCAATGTGGAGGATATATCAGGGGTCTCCTGCCAACTCTCCTCAGATTGAAGAAGCAACTTGGATGAGTAGTGAAAACATTTCAACCTAATAAGAAAGAAGTCTAGTTGTCATGACTCAACTTTGAGATATTTGAAAAGTGCCATCATGTCACCCCTTAGTCTTCTTTTCTCAAGGTTAAACTTGCCCAGTTCTTTCAATCTCCCCTCATTGGATTTGTTTTCTAGTCACCTGATCATACCCCTTCTCTCTCTCTCTCTGTCTCTCTCTCTCTCTCTCTCTCTCTCTCTTATGTGTGTGTGTGTGTGTATTTCTGAGTCTAGGGAAAAGAGGAGGGTATTGGTAGAAGTGTGTGAGGTGTAGTAGGAAAGTTCTGGCAGCTACTGTTGCTGAGGTGCACTTGTGAGGGAGGGGGCATGCACATTGAGAGAGCATGTGTATGTGCATGTAAGTCTCATAGAAGGATCACAAACTTCTCAATTGATGATGACACTACTGCTCATCAGTAATTCACATCTTAGTTATTCTCTCTCTGTTGGTACAATGCCCTATCTGGCCCAGAGAACATAAATGGCAGAAATGCCCCGCCTAAGAAGGTGCTATTCCACTAGGGGAAGAGGCCAACTTTCGTTCCCAATTTTCATCACCCTTTGAACCCTTGTTGTTGGTGGTGGTGTTTAGTTGTTTAGTCATGTCCGACTCTTCGTGACCTCATGGACCAGAGCACGTCAGGCCCTCCTGTCTTCCACTGCCTCCTGGAGTTGGGTCTAATTCATGTTGGCAGCTTTGATGACACTGTCCAACCATCTCGTGCTCTCTCATCCCCTTCTTCTCTTGCCTTCATTCTTTCCCAACATCAGGGTCTTTCCAGGGAGTCTTCTCATTAGATGGCCAAAGTATTGAAGCCTCAGCTTCAGTATGTGTCCTTCCAGGGAGTACTCAGGGTTGATTTCTTTAAAAATGGATTAGGTTTTATCTCCTTGCAGTCCACGGGACTCTCAAGAGTCTCCTCCAGCACCACAATTCAGAAGCATCAATTCTTTGGGGGTCAGCCTTCTTTATGGTCCAGCTCTCACTTCCATACATCGCTACTGGAAAAACCATAGCTTTGACTATGCGGACCTTTGTCAGCAAGGTGATGTCTCTGCTAGGTTTGTCATCGCTTTCCTCCCAAGAAGCAGGCGTCTTTTAATTTTGTGGCTGCTGTCACCATTTGCAGTGATCATGGAGCCCAAGAAGGTAAAATCTGTCACTGCCTTCATATCACTGCCTTCTGTTTGCCAGGAGATGATGGGACCAGTAGCCATGAGCTTATTTTTTTATGTTGAGCTTCAGACCATTTGTTGCACTCTCCTCTTTCACCCTCATTAAGAGGTTCTTTAATTCCTCATCACTTTCTGCCATCAGAGTGGTATCAACTGCATATCGGAGGTTGTTGATATTTATTCCGGCTTGGGATTCCTCCAGTCCAGCCTTTTGCATGATGTATTCTGCATATAAGTTAAATAAGCAGGGAGACAATATACATCCTTGTCATACTCCTTTCCCAATTTTGAACCAATCAGTTGTCCCATATCCAGTTCTAACTGTTGCTTCTTGTCCCACATATAGATTTCTCAGAGATAGATAAGGTGGTGAGGCACTCCCATTTCTTTAAAAATTTGCCATAGTTTGTTGTGGTCCACGCAGACAAAGCCTTTTGCGTACTCAATGAAACAGAAGTAGATGTTTTTCTGGAACTCTCTGGCTTTTTCCATAATCCAGTGCATGTTGGCAATTTGGTCTCTAGTTCCTCTGCCCCTTCGATATCCAGCTTGTACTTCTGGGAGTTCTCGGTCCACATACTGTTTTGAACCCTAGGCTGGGTGAACCTAGAAGGTGTGTGATGGGCAACTATTGGCAATCTTCTGACCCTAGATTTCTACTAATTGCTTGATTTTTGGTCAAAGTACAGTTGGCTGTGTACTTTAAGCCTTGAACATCAGCCTGACTAAGTAGGACACCCAAATAAGAAAAATAGCCAGCATAGCTCTGTGGCTAAGACACTTTCTTTAGATACTCAAACACTTGTTTCCCCAAGAAGCACACTTGAGTAAAATATAAAATAAGGTTTATTTAAAAACATTAAAAAGTTATTGTGACGATTGCCCCACGTCACTCCTGTCACTCATATTCATTTGCATGAGCCTATGGGAAGAGTGGAGGGGTGAGTCAGTTGATATAAGAAGGTTTGGCAGAAGAGATGGAGAAAGGAGATATCAAATTTACAGATAGAGAGAGATAGCCAGGGAGATAGTGAGAACAGATACTAATAGAGATAAGGTGGTCAAGATAAATAGATAGAGCAGGTGGTGATTAGTTATGTGGCAAGATATATGACATTTTAATGATTTGATTGTATGTGTTGAATAAAGAAAATCTGTGACTCTGATTAAATTTAATGCATTTCAATAAATAAGTTCTGTTGACAGTAACCGGACAAGTGTCTGAGTAAAGTTCTTTATATATTGTGAATAAAGGAAAACTACTGGTGGCAGTGAGGAAAAGAGGGAACATCACAATTGGTATCTGCTGCTGGAATGACATAGTGTGAGCTCTTTGTTTGGGGAAATTAGCAGGGGTAAATGTCACAGTTATAAAACATAAGATATCAAAAAAGATACAATTGCTCTGTTAAAATGCCAGGCCTCTACAGGACTAGCTGAGCTTTTGGAAGCAAATTCACAATAAAACAATAAAAGTATGACTAACTAGTTCACAATAGTTTTATTACTTAATTCTAGTTTTATTCTAGTTACCATTGCTAAGTCTCCCAGTCAATCAGCAAAGGCCATAAAACCTGTCAAACCCTCTTCCTCTGTCTTCCATACTCTCTTCTTCGCCCTCCTTTCTATAAGTTAAATTAAAGTCTCTGCATCATGATGCTATCCAATCAGCTTAAAGCTCTTTATTCAGAAGTCCACCTCCCACTTGCAATTTTCCAAAATTCCGTCTCTCTTTCCCATGCTGGCAAGTAATTAAGATGGAATTCAGTGTTTATCACTCTTGGATTGCAACCTTGAAAAGGACTCTTGGCAGACGAAACAAATCTGCTTTCCAGGCAGAGAACCGCCACCTGTGCAAACTCTAAAAAATTACTGCAAAACCCATTTCATCACAACCTTCCATGAGTTTCAGAATAGAGGCCGAACTTTTCAACAACTAGCAGTTGGTCATAATGGGGATGAACTTATTTTTTTCCCTAAAGGTCCCCAAATTACTTCAAGGTGCCCGGAATATAATATTTTGTTTCTTTTCTTATCCTTTGTGGATGTTTCTCCCTGTTCTCCACAATGTAGTTCTTGTGTATTCTTTTGTGTATTTTCCTGTACTGATCAGAATAAAACCAGACTTGTAGTTAAAGGACATCAAAGAAAATTGAGGTTGGTGGAAAGAAACCCTAGAAAGAGCCGTAGTTTTTAATGCTTCTTTTCAAGAAAATTCACAGTGCTTCTAAGGTAGTCTTTGATATGAAGTGGGTAGGGAATTCTTGGAAAGTTTAATCTTCTGGCCAAGTGGTAATAGTTTGTGTCTTTGATTTTCTTCCCCTCTGTTTTAGAGAACTGGTCATAGGGCTTATCACAAAACACAGATGCAGAACTCAGCACAAAGCACAGTGCTCTGAGGAAAAGTCTTCAGCATAATTGTCTACACATACGTAGGCTTTATTTCCAGTTAAATTTAGAAAGTATATCTCATCTAGGTACAATTTAAATTCCATTTGACAAGCTGTATTTTGGGCTTTCCGTGTTCACTGAAGCTTCAAAATACCAAGAAACTGCAACTGTGAAGGTCCACATCATTAAAGTCACATCATTAAAGAAATATGGGTATGAAATAATATCCCAGGCTAATTTCCTTTTTCACCACTGCTTTGGAGCTGGAAGGCTGCAGGTAGCAAAATTGTCAGACCTAAGTCCTGAGTTTGTCTTTTCATTGCTATAAACACATGCTGTCTCTGTAACTGAAGCTAACAATCCATACTGGTACCCAATAAGCAGCCAGTGAATCCCACATAATGCCATAACAATTAGATGTCTTCTTGTCAGAACAGAGCTGTTTGAAACTACAGTAATGACTGTGTCACTTCCCAAGCAGATAGTGGTGTGAATGTAACTTTAGCTGTTTGCTTTATTTCAGATTGTCTTAGAAAACAGCAGCCGTGAAGACAAGCATGAATGTCCATTTGGAAGAAGTAGTATTGAATTAACAAAAATGCTGTGTGACATCCTCAAAGTTGGAGAGTTGCGTAAGTCTATCAATATTGTCCAAGCCAGCATTTTGCAATTTATTGTCAGACGTCTGCTGAAAATGTCTCCTCTAGCAGTGGATGGAATGAGACTCAAAGTTTCTTTATTTGATGCAGCATTGTTTCACACATTCAGGTCTTGCATGCTGAAAAACCATGGCTTGGGGTATTAATTTTCAGTTCATTGCTAAACGAATGTCTAAAAATGTGGGATGGGTTTTGCAGCTTCTGGCCTCTCCAGGTACATAACAAGACAAAGAGCTTTGATGTAATAACTTCATGCATCACCTACTGGTATTATAATTCAGTCTGCAACAGTCTTCTCAGTAATGTAGAAGTAAACCTCGGCCCCAGCAGAGATGACAGAATACTGGGCCTCAGAATTCAGACTTGAGAGCTGATTCTGATATACTGAAAAATAGCACCATATGTTTCCAAAAGGAAGATGGGGAGTACATTGACAGATACAGCATGGCCTTCCTGGATCACATACTTCCTAAATAATCTAAAAGTTATAGTAAATTACTTTATCAAGTATTAAATGATCAAAACCTAAAATGCAAAATTATTGAGTCAGCTTTCAGAAATGCAAACTGGGTAAATTAGTCATGTGTATTAGAACTTTTAAGTCTGATGATATTATATTTGGTCAGTTGAAACACTGTCTGAAACCCTGTTGCTTTGTGTAGTACATCACAAAGTAGGTCCACTGAACTAGTGGGGATTTGGTGAGTCAACTCCTGTGCTAGTGGGCTTAGTTTAGTTCCTAAACAGCAGGGTTTCAGCCAATTATGATGATAAGAAGTTATACAGATAGTTTTGAAGTCTTGAATATATAGTGTAAATTCTCTCAAGCCTCCAGTTTATGAATGTGGGATATTGTGCTTCTGTACCCACGATTTTAAAAGCCAGGAAATGGCCCAATAATGCTGCAAAATTTTGTGCCCACATTGTCAGCAGGAAAAAGGATGCAAAGCTTTACATAGCAAAGGGCATTCTGAATGTTGGCCACACCAATAACAGCAATCAAGAAGGGCCACACAGGATATCTTCCTTGTGGTCACTACCATTCATAAAGTGACACTAAGCAAGAGAAAATTGCAGAAGCTGGCTCCTTTTTTCTTCAGTTCCCCACTTCTCACCCGAACACAAAGCAATTGACATGTTTGAATGGTTTCAGAAGTATATATACATTTTAGTTTGGGCTGCCCCCATTTTTAGGATTGCCTTATAAAATGTTGGTTTGCTGTGGTGCACAACAATATCATAGCACTCTTGTGCAGTGATAATTTTTCTATCTAGTTTTAATTTCCATGTCTTTGGAATCATCAGGAAGCAGACTACACAGTTACATTAGAATAAATATTTATAGTTATATTTATTTATTTATTTGCAAACACAGTATGCATGTTCCAAGGAAAATACATTGTTGTGGCATATCAGGTTCTCTGTGTTTTACAGACAACGGATATATCTGATTTGTTATGATGAGACTTTCAAACTCAAGCTGTCACTTTCAGCAGAAGCACAGAATATATTCCAGTAGAGGCTGTATTGTGCAATAAAGTCTGATATGTTAAAATGATCAGTCAGTGTAGGCCAAAGCATAACAGACAGTTTGTGTAATATTTTAAAATATGTATTAGTGCTGTAACAATTCTTCCTTTAGGAATTCGTAACTCACTAGGCTTGAAGTCGCATGCATTTTAAAAATGAAATTCTGAGATTGGATAAGAAAATCAAAAAATAGTTTTAGATGATGAATATATATATTGAAGAGCAGCCTTGGAATCTTCTAGAGCTCAGCAAACACAGTATGCATGTTCCAAGGAAAATACATTGTCGTGGCATATCAGGTTCTCTGTGTTTTACAGACAACGGATATATCTGATTTGTTATGATGAGACTTTCAAACTCAAGCTGTCACTTTCGGCACAAGCACAGAATATATTCCAGTAGAGGCTGTATTGTGCAATAAAGTCTGATATGTTAAAATGATCAGTCAGTGTAGGCCAAAGCATAACAGACAGTTTGTGTAATATTTTAAAATATGTATTAGTGCTGTAACAATTCTTCCTTTAGGAATTCGTAACTCACTAGGCTTGAAGTCGCATGCATTTTAAAAATGAAATTCTGAGATTTAAAACTTAATAAAGATGTTGAATCATTTAGATGTTGAATATATATATTCAAGAGCAGCCTTGGAATCTTCTAGAGCTGAGGCACATGGTGTCAGGACCTCCCACATGCTGGCTATAACCCATCCCCAGCACCAAGTGCCTCAGTTCCAAAAAAGCATATTAGGGCTTTTTTTTTCAGGGGATGTCTTTTTTCATGTACAACAATCTACACTTATTCAAATACAGTCATGTCATCATCTTCTGGTTACTGCACAATGGTGGACAGTGGGGTTTCATTTAACTGGGGCCTATTTTAGGGGTATTTTGGGGGAAACTGATATGTCTGATATACTAGCTGAAACTAACATGGCTAACTCTTCTACAACTGAAATCTGTTAGAAACCCTTCCTGCTTGCTTTTATCAATCATCCGCTTGGCAAGAGTGTTTGGCTTTAAAATATTGGAAGATATAACTGGGTACATATTACTGTATTTCTTTGCCAACAAATCCTTTTTGCATTTGGCCATAAAAATAATCCACATGAATTATGGAAAGGTCTTGAACAACACAGTGAAACCAGCACTACAATTAAGGCAAGGATACTTAACTGTAGGACACTGATATTCTACTCCACTTTGAAATATCATCTATCACTTTCTTTTCTGGCTAAATGTTCTTGCTAATGAATGACTTAAGAAAATTAGCTTCAAACAATTAAACTTTACTTGCTCTTCACAGAGATCTGTAGATCAGTTTTAGCTTTCTTCATGATCAAGGAATGCTTCAAGCCCCACCCCCCTAGTTCTGTTTGCCTCATGCCTGTTGGCAGTTAGCTTTTCCATTAATGGCGAAAGATTAAACCCTAGCCTTCTGGATGTCAAGTGAAAGACTCCTTTGCAGGAGCTTGCTATAGTATATCTAGCTGATAAGCAAAGAAAACTGATTAAGACTTTGTGACATAGAACTACACAGTATTCCGTATACTGTATAAGGACAGAAGCTTCAAAGCAACAGAGAGTAGGATTACTTGGCTGGTTGTCTTTTCCATCGAAATATCTGCTGCCCAAAAAGGATACCTGAAGACAGTCCCTCCATATTTGTAAAGTAATGCTGGTAGCACTGTGGCCCCTCTAAGCACTTGACAGCCAAGACTCTATTCATGTAGAGGGAGTCATATCAGCTATACATTATTTTCATAGTGTGCCCCCAGATGTTAGCTAAAACAAACTTGGAAGGTGAATTGCTCCATAACCTTTTCCACTATGTTGTAGCAATTGGGCTTGCTACTGTAGGTCTCTTTCCAAAATCCCTCTTATGCCAAGAGATTTTTTTGTGTGTGTAAAGTATTCATCAAAAAATGGTATGTTTGACAAGCAACTCCCCTTTGATTGTTTGGATGTGAGTCTATCAGTTGTTTCAATGGCATAAGCAGACGAAAGGCTTGGGATGCAACCTGTGGAACAGATGAAAAATGCCTTACTTGTAGCTTTTGAAATGTGGAACATGTCACCTTTTCTGAGATGTGTCAGCATCTGAACTTCAGATTAGGCAGTGGGATTATTAAACAAATTCTTCAGGTGAAAGAGTCCTTTATTTTTTCAGTTTCTGTATGATAACTGTATGACGATGAGATAGGGAAGTATCATATCCAGATATTTATATGAACAATCCAGTCTATATATGCTGCCATGTTGAAATATACACATAATTGCATTACTGAACAATTCTGTGGATCTTTACTCACATTCCTAATCTGAACACACTTTTCCTTCCTGGGGTAGCAACAAACAGAATTAAATTGGAAAATGGAAGAATTGGAATAATTATATATCCTGCATGAGATTAATGGAAGCCAGAGCATAGCAGGATTGTGTAGAAAATGTGTTAAAAAAGTTTATTTCTCCTCAGGTTAGGTTGCACAACAATTAGCCAAAGTGTATAATAGGTTATGGGGATTACCTTGCATTTTGAATCCTTCCAAATTCTCTTCAGGGCAGTTTGTAAGTTGTTCAGAATTTGCCTGGCTGTTCTCTGTCACAAGCCTGGCTAATTTAGCAGAGAGTTGAAGAAGAATAACAGCCCAGCTCAAAATCAATGTCTCCAGTCACCAAACCATGCTATGGAGATGAAGAACATGAAACACAGCAATTCTGCAGGAGAGTCTTGAAGAACTGTTTCAGAATTATTGTACTCCCTTGAACATACTTAGAAAAAAATCTAAGTGCATCTGTGAAGTGGATGTGCTCCATATAACACGTTTTGTCTGGACATAATTAAAACAGACACACAGAAAGCAGTAAGATATCTGTTAATCCCATTCTCCTTGATCTTCTAGAGAGCATGGGAAGGCAACTTTGGTGGATCCAAAGATGAATGCTTCTCTCTAACCTGTCATGGACTGCACTTTTCGTGTGTAGCCAAAATTTGGCAGCAGACACTTTAAGATGCCATCTGTGGTCACAGTATGTTGCGTATTTTATCAATCTAAAAAAAGATAAAGAAGATGCCTTGTTTTAAGCAAAACAAAAACCAAACCAGATACAGTGGTGCCTTGACTTACGAACTTAATCCATATTGGAACGGTAGCCGTAAGTCAAAACGTTTTTAAGTCAAAGCACCATTTTCTATAGGAATGCATTGAAAACTGATTAATCCATTCCGGCTGTTTTTGTCCTGTCAAGGCATGGTTTGTACGTCAAAGCCTGTTAATCCACATCCTTCTGTCAAGGCACGGTTTGTACGTCAAAGCCTGTTAATCCACACTCTACCACTAGGGGAAGATTTTTTCTTCTTCTTTTGACCTAAGATGAACTTAGGTCAAAAAAAAGGGCAGGAAAGGAGGGACGGGGAGGGAACCCCTTCTAAACAGAACACCTTTAAAAACAAGCACATTTAAACCAAACCAAGCACCTTTTAGGATAAAAATGGGCTGGACAGAAGGAAGGGAACACCTTTCAAACATAACACCTTTAAAACAATAGAACACCTTGAAAAGCACCTTTTCAACTAAGCCAAGCCAAGCCAAGCCAAACACCTTTTAGGTTAGAAAAAAAGGGCAGGAAAGGAGGGAGAGAGGGACACCTTTTAGGTTAAAAAAAAGGGGGGGCAGGAAAGGAGGGAGAGAGGAACAATGGGGAAAAGAGGAAAGAAAGAAAAAGAGAGCATGGAGAGAGAGAGAGCATAAACTGCATTTTAAAGCCTGCTTGCACCAACCATCAGCAACCATTCTTCCAGCACAGAACACCTCATCACTGTATAGCCTGGCTTGTTGCCTATGGACTAGCCCTCCCACTAAAGAAACTACAGTACTCTGTAATTCTCAGGCCAGCCCTGTTTAGTGACAGCTTAGCAGTGTCCAAGCTGAGTTGTTGGTGGGTCCCTTGTAGACCTTCCTTACTTGTGCAGAATTCCTCAGAAGAGAAAACCTCTTCAGCCTTTCACTTACTGTCAACAAATTCCCTGACCATTGGTTCTTGACTGGAATCTTCCCCTTCAAGCCATTGAAGCTCTTTGCATTCTGAAGATCTTTACTTTTAAGATGTTTCTTTCTACTATTCATAATAAACTGGTAGTTTGTTTGTAT